CCACCGGGGGGGAGGCAGCGCGTTATTTCCGATGCTTCACCTCTTTGTCTGACGCTTTGGAGTCCCCGGTGTGCCCGTTCCCCGTGCTGTTCATGAATATTTTATCCAGCCCCTTGAGGGACTCCACCAGGTAGTTCTGGAAGGCGGTGAGGGCGGCGCAGATGGCCGGGCCCCCAAAGCCGTGGGTTATGAGGCTGAAATGAGTCAAACAGCTCTGCACACCGGGCTCGAGGATCAGCGAGGGGCGGCTGTTCCCCAGCGGCGACCGGTCCTGGGCTATCAGGTCTGCAAACTCTTTGCAAATTTGTCTGAAAGAGAGAGGGTTTGGTCATGATCCGGCTCCTGGAGAGCTGCGGGGCACAGAATCATAGAATCCCAGGATAGTCTGGGCTGGAAGAGACCTTAAAGATCATCCAGTTCTAACCCCCCTGACGTGGACACCTTCCACTAGACCAGGTTGCTCAGAGCTCCATCCGACCTGGCATTAAACATTTCCAGGGATGAAGCAGCCACAACTTCTCTGGGTGTGTCTGGGGGTTCTTTTCCTCCTCCCTGCACCAACAGCCACCTCCCCACCAGGGTTTTTCAGCTCCAGCCTGTGGAAAGCTCCTGGCTGCAGATTTGGAGCCACTGCCACTGCTCCTGCTTTGAAGGGACACGTGAGGCAGTGCCAGAATGCTCCCCCATGGTTGTGTTACCCCCTCCCCTGGAGGAACGAGCCCTTCAGTCCATGCAGGCCTTTCCCCTTTCTGCACATCTCCCACAGAAGAGGAACCTGTGGGGGCTGAGGCTGCCCCCGGGCTGTGGGCACCGAGCACACCGGTGGCTGGCTGCCATCTGTACTCACTTGGTGGCCAGCAGCATGTTTTTCCTGGTGTGCAGCTCGCTGGGGTCGGAGTGCTGTCGGCACAGGTACTCTGCCGCAGCCTTGGCCGGGAACTCGGTCTCGCAGACGTAGCCGAAGTCCCGGGCCAGGTGGATGGCTTCACCTGTGGGCAGGACAGAGGGACATCAGCACCCAGCCCACACCCTGGGCCAGGGGACAACTTCTGCAGCAGCTTCAGCCATCTCACTGCTGGGGCTCATTTCTGGTGGCGCTGGGGTGCTTCCCTCTCCCAGTGAGCGCCCAAGAGCTCTCCCCACCTTCAGCTCTTGGTGCAGAAACTGCTGTGAGCTTCTTGTTCTCCTCTGCAAGGCAATTAGTCCATGGGGGCCAAATGAGCCATTGCCTGCTCTAAACAGCAGCTGGATCCTTCCTTTACTGCCTTTTAAAAGAGCATCAGGAAGGTGCTGGCTTTGGAGCAGAGAGAGGTGTGACTCTGGGCACCTGCTCCAAAGGGAAGAGCAGCAGAGACATTTCTCACTTGGGGACATCCCCTGCTGCATCTTTCTCTCCCTACTTCTTCCCAGATTTCCTGCTTGGCCCTTCCAAATTGAGCAGAAATGGGGGCTGGAGGGTGAAAGAGCAACCTCAACCCTGTGAGCACAGAACAAAGCAGGGCTGTGAGGAAGGGGCAGGAGGAAGGGGGTTTCATCCTCCCACAATGAGCCGGGGCCCTCGGGCTGGACGTGCAGGCAGTGTATCCATCACCCCGTGGAAATGCCCACCCATTGATGGAATTGATTCATCTCCAGGCGTCCCCGTGGAAATAATCAGAGCTGATGGCCATTGATCATGCCCAACACCCAAAATCCGGGTCAGGCAGGCAGAGCTAATTTGACTTGCCCCCCTGCTGCTCACACGTATTAGGCCATCCATCCTAACAGCATTAACCCAGATCCCAGCCCAGCCTGCCCAGCTCCTGGAGCTCGGTTAGGGGGAAGTGCCTGTGCTTCCCACGTAAGGACAGCACTTTCCACTTCAGCTCCTCCTTCAAAGTGGGAGCAAGTGAGGTAAACCTAAAGAATGAGAACTGCAGTTGTTTGTGTGTTAAAGGACAGTCAGAGAGGAACAACTGCTGGAACAGTGTTACTGGGATGATAAAAACTGGCTGAGTGAGCCCATGGTCAGAGACAAGGCTGGAGCCAGGATTCATTTCCTCCATGAGTGTGCGAGTGGCTGCGTATCTGAATGTCTTAAAGGCAGTTTGGAGTCTGGATTAGAAAGCTGTCAGGGGAACAGGGCAGCCTGGCTTTGGGAAGAGGTGTTAGAGCCACACTGAGCCAGAGCCTGGGGAGGAGAGGCTGCAGGAGAGCACTTGGGGGGCCATGCAGCCACAGGAGCTTGCCTGAGGCTCTTTTGAGAGCTTAGGGGTGTTTCTGGAGTGGAAATACAGCCCTGCTGCTCTCATGGAGCAGTTGCTCAAAGAGAGGGTGAGTGCTCTGTGTACTTGGTGAGGATTCCAAAGGGAACTGTTTCTGCCTGGTGCAGAAACCTCCTCCCCATCTGTGTGAGTGGGTCAGTGTAAGAAAAAATATATCATTAACATTCAAAGAGACACCCAGGGGCTCTTTTAAAGGGTCAGACATTAAGAAGGCAGAGAGGAGAGAACAAAGTAAGCCAAGACAACAAATGTCCAGGAAAGAGGGTGCCTGGGACAGAAGGGCACAAACCAGTTCTGTGTGTGGGGTCAGGGAAAGCAGCAGCACCTTCCTCTGGGTGGAACATCCCCTGGTACCATCACATGTTCCAGGAAGAAATTATATCCACCAAGCACACATGGCACCACTCCTATTTACCATGAGCTGGTAAGCAGGAACCAAAACATCAGCAGCCACCCGAACCCAAACTGTACATTTTTCCTTCCTTCCTTTCTTTGCTTCGTTCTTTTCTTTCTTTTTCTTCTCATGGAAATCAGCCTTCCATTCAGCACAAACCAACTGCCCTGGGTAACAACCTCGGCCTAATGAAGCGGGTCATTTAATTTGCTGGCGACAATGGGGATGATTTTCTATTCAGGATCCGCAGGCAGCTGCCTGGGCACGGACACAATGGATTCCGGAGCTCGGAGGGAGGCAGAGCTGTCATTCCATTTGTTTGTGCCCCGTGTCCTTTCCTCCCAGGACTCACTGGAGACATCATCATTTCCACGGTGTAGAGAAGCAGGAGGGGAGGAAATGACCGAGCGGCTTTGGGCAGGGGCACCCCACACGTCCAGGCAGGGACGCACATTTTCCGTCGCTCAACCCTTACAGCCACGCTCTGAGGGCGGGTTCTGCACACCTGAGCTCCACCTGCAAGACCTCGGAGCTGTTTGGCATCTCCTTGATGTCTCACTCATCCCCTGCTGTGCCAGGGAGGAGGGGAGGACTCGGAGGAGGGACGTTTCCTTCTCCCAGGAGACAAGGCACAGACCTGGGGTGGGGATGGAGCCCTGACAGAGAGGGGGTTGTGCCCGAGGTGAGTGCACGGGGCTGCAGAGCAGCTGTGGAGTCTTGGCAGTTTTGCTCAAGCTTTTTTGGTTTAATTTGTGTTCAGCCCTCTGCCTGCCCAAGGGTCTGCTCATTTTAAAGGATGTGTGCTTGGACCAGCATAGAGGCTTACACAGGGGACATTCCCAGGCTCAGCTGGTGGTGACCAACCCATACTTTAGGTGCTCTGGTTTATGGAATGCTGGAAATGAAGGGAATGGAAGTTTTGGCACTCCCAACCCCCGTGGGAGCAGCTCTTACCTTCCACGAGGGATGTCAGCAGGGTGACGTTGGCAGCTTTGCGCCGTCCTGCAGGTAGATTTAATCCAATTTTCTCTAACCTTTCCCTTAAACACCGACCCCCATTTTTTGATTTGGCTCTGAAAAGAGAAAACAAAGGGGAGGGGGGAAATTCAGTGTAGTTCATGTTAAAATAACCATAATCCCAGTTTAAACTTTGAGGTCTGAGAGGAGAGACGATGAAGCAACAAAAACACTATTCCCCAGTGAACCGCACACTGGAATTTCTCATCCCCGTTTATCTGAGAGGTAAGATCTGGCGCCAGACACAGATCCCAGGGCTCTTGGAGCAGCTCACCTGCGGAGGACCCCGCCGAGGAGAGAGGCGTTGAGACACTCTGGGGGCGAGAGCCTCCTCTGCACCTCCCCGACCGTCACCTTGTACTTGGAGGTGGAGCTGAGGAGGGACAGGCGGCCGGGCACGGAGCAGAACACCTCGTTGGGATTCGTCACCCCTCCAATCAGGCCATCTTTGTTCACTGACAGGCTGGAGATGGTGGTGCCGTTGGCCTTCGAGGGGATGGGCACTGGGAGACAAGGAAGGGAGAGAGAAGAGGAAACTGTAGCTGAGAGACCCCGGAGCCAGGGACGCTGCGTGGTGACACTCCGGGCAGCTCTGCAGCCTCCCACACCGTGTCCTGCCATCCACAAACAGCTGCTGGGATGTCTCAATTAGTTCTCTGTTTTCCCCAGTGAAAAGATGTGGGGTGATGAAACTAAACTGAGCGAAGTTTACAAAAAGGAAGAAGCCTGGATGCTGCTCTTGCCTGCGTTCCCACACCTCCCAGCTCGGCTGTGATTAAAGCCAAGGTTTGGGGCTGGTCTCCTGGAAGGCTGAGGACTGTCCACAGTGTCAGTGGCTGGACTTGTGACCAGCTCCTCTCCCTGTCCACCTCGGGTGAAGGGGGGTGGCAGGGCTGGGGTCCCGCTGGCTGGGGTACCAATCCCAGCTCTGCCCGGCACACCAGCCAGGACCAACCCCCTGAGCCACCACCCCCATTCCCTGCCCCAAAACCCGGGAGCTGCTGGGCTGGCCAAGAGCTGTGCTTCCAGCATGCACCCATGGGAACCAGGGGAGAGAGTGTCTCTGCCCTCAGCTTTGGGATCAGCCCCACAACCAGCCACAGCCTGAACTTTCATCATCCCTGGCTTAAAGGAAGCTCGAGAAGATCAAACCCAATTAATCCAGCGCAGACTTCCCTTTACTTAATGGGCAAAAGTCAATTAACACAAGGTTTGGCACTGGTGACTGCAGCATTGCATCAGGCCCGTGGCGTCGCACAGGGATGAAGGGGCTCAGTTTTCCCATTTGTCATTCCATAAGAAATGTTCTTAGACGCAATAAACCTTTATGGGTTAAAACTGTGGCTGAGACTTGTGCCAAGTCTCTTTTGGCTTTTCTGTTCTGAAACTAATAACCAATTTAACTTGGGGAATAATGCAGGTTTTGAAAGAATCCAAAGATCATTTTCTCCCTGGCATTCTTTGTGGTTCCTCAGGAATGACTGTTCCACAGTCAGATGGTTCCTGCAAGTAACACAGCAGTGAATGCCAGGGTGAGGTGCAGGGTTTGTAGAGGAAACACACATGGCCAAAATGAAACAGAAACCCCAGAATTAATTGGGGAGGGTACACAGACTGGACCTATGAGGGGGTGCTTCCAATCAGCGCATTGTAAATCCAGCCCAGTGACAAAAATCAGCACTTTACATAAAAATGGCTCGTGTTTTAAGACTAAAGGACGAATGGAAATGAACTGAAGGACATGGAGTTTCCTCCCAACATGAAACTTGTACAGAGTCAGGGAGGGAAGGGCGGGATGCACCAGTGCCCTGCTGGAACCAGCAGCTGTGGTCGGTGTTTGCCATGACTGAGGCCGGTTCAGGGATGTTCAGGGAAGAACAAGGACAGGAACATCCCCATGAGACGTAGGAAACCAAAACCATTTCCAGGAAGCAGCAACTTCAAAGCTTTCTTCCACAGTCCTGGAACAGGTTAGGTTAGTCTCCAGGGCATCCCTTAAAATCAAAAGTCAGAGGGTGGTTTGCAAATATCCAGGCAGCGCTGCCGAGGCCCTGCAGGTCCCAGTCCCAGCGTGAGGGTTCTGCTGCAGCAAGGACCACCCCCCTAGGGGGGAAGGTGCTGGCTGTAGTACCATGTGAAAGGCTCTGCAGGAGTGCTGTCCTCTCTAAGGCAGGTTGTGTGGGTCTTTGTGCATTCCTGCATCGTGCGGTGGAGCTGCATGCGTGGCCAGGGACCTGAGCACACCACGGGCTGGCAGAGCCATGCAGGGAGGGGGTGGTGCCTCACCACACACCCATGGGACACGGCGGCTGGGGAGGGGGCAAACCCAGCTGGCACCAGTGCAGGTTAACGCGGGAGCCCACGGCAAACAGGGCTGGGCAAGGGTTGGGTCCATCTCTGGGGCGTTTGCCATTCACCCCACACGCAGCAGCAGGGCGGTGGGGAGGCACAGGTGATGCTGATGTGCAGCATGGAGACACCACAACGCTTGGCAAACGCGTACTGGAGCTTTTAGGGGCGATGGCACCGTGAGGAACAAACCCCCTGGAAAGCTGTGCCCCAGACCCGAGCGCAGCGGGGTCAGCCCCGCTCCGTGCCACGAGCAAACAGGGCCAGGCACCGGCACTGAGCGTGGATATTGGCACTGCTCTGCTGCCTCCAGGCCTGAGCCGAGGCCACAGCCCCGTCACTCTGGGCTGGTGCAGCTGTGGGACAGGGCACCCGTGTCACAGGGAGCTCATGCCCACGCGGGGCACACGGGGCGTGAGGGAGGGACAGAGCAGGCGGCAGCCCTGGGAACTGAGCCGGTCCCCGGAGCCCTGGAACAGCTTCATCCATTAGCATTGCCTCAGTACAACAAGAATAAACAAAGCCACGTTCGCCATTAATTATGAATTATTGTTATTTGGCCTCACCTGCTGCTGTTTGCCTGGTCTGATCTGCAGCTTGTTTGCCCATAAACATGCTGCAGGAGGGAGACAAGCTACCATTAAAGCCTGACAGCTTTGTTTCCTTGGCTTTTGGGGAACCAAAATTGTCTCTCGCCATCTGAGTAAACCAAAAGTCCCCCTCGATCTTCAGTTGCTGCTTTCCCGCTCCCGCAAGCAGCAGGTGATCGGAGCACCTGAGCCAGCCTGCAGACAAGAAGGAAGCGTGAGAGCGGGGCGGGTGGCTCAGCGCGTGACCCACAGCCCCACGGCCCGCTCCGAACCCCTGCGCCCTGCCCAGCCAGGCCAGGGGGCTGCAGGTTCCTGACCCAGCACTCGGTGCTGCGTCCACAGCCTCGTGCCGAGGGGTCGTCCCAGCCGCGGCGCAGAGAAACGACACGACCTGCGGGAGCGAGACGGGGCTTTGGGGACGGGGATCGAGGCACTGAACGGCCCCAGCACGAGGGGGGCCCGCGGGGCAGGGGGGCAGGAGGACACGGCACGGACCCGAACCCCACGTGGCGCTTTGCAGATGGGAGTGGAGACGTCACATCGTGGCACTGCGCCGGTCACCCCTTCGGAGGTTCTCCGCCATCAGCCGTAGGAGGCACCCATTTTTGGTGTGGGGGAGGACCTTTCCCACCTGCTCATCCCCCTGGCTGGGGTTTGGGCAGGCTTAGCTCCCACTCCTGACCATGGGTTGTCGCAGAAATGCATCCCAGGGGTGCTCATTCACACCAGCTCTTCACACAGGCTGACAAGGGAAGGGTGGGATGTTGGTGCTCAAACCAGCACCCCTCTGGCCCTGCCTGATGGGAGGGTTAGGGCTCACCTGGGTCACCCCACCACACCCCAGGAAGGTATAAAAGGCAGGACACAAACTGGGTTTGGGCTGATACAGTCAAAGAAAGGGGAAGGAGATATCAAACCCTCCAGCAACTGCTCAGAAAGCCCCTGGGGAGTGCAAGGTCTTTCTCTCTTACAGCCGTCTTTGCCATCTGCACTTACTATTCATTGAGGCTTGGTTGCTTCACTCTGTCCCCCTAAATTTTTTTTGCTCTCTTCTTTAGCTGCCCAGTGTTTTTTTCCCTTGGGATAGTTGTTTATTCAGACTAATCCTGCTACCTCTAATTCAGCAAATCCAGGTGAGCTTGGCTGCAGATTTCACCCACCAAAGCCCCTTTGAAACACTTTGACCTGCCGAGCTCGGGGATGCAGGTAAACACTGTGAGGCAGCCACGGCTCAGGGGGGGCTGGATTGGAAACAGAAAACTGATTTTGGAACAAGGTTATACTGGCAGACCTCAAAGGGCTTCATGCATTACTAATCCTCAGCCTGGTGCCGGTACAGCACCAGCCACCAAAGCAATTAAATCGCTCCTGGCTCGAGCCAGCTCCTTAGTGCAGCCGGGGAAAGATGAGGCACAGAGCAAGTTAAATGATTTACCAAAGATTAGGTGCATGGGCATGACCTGTGTGTGTAATTCCAGTCTGTGGGGATGCCTTTCCAAGCAATCCAGGCTTTAGCTGCTGCCCAGGTGCTGGGAAGGCTGTGCTGCAGACTGATCAAGGACAGTCTCTGTTTTTAGAGCTCTGGATTTCCTGCTGGGTGCTGCGGGGTCGAGCTGTCAGTCACCACATCGTCCTGGCTCATGGTGCTCTGGGGGTTTGGAGTTGGCTGGAGTTGGGAAGGGCTGTGTGGCAGTAGCAGGTGTACAATCCCTTGCTGAGTGTGGGAAGGGAAGCAATTCTCACTTCTTCTGTGCAACATCCCAGGAAGCGTCTCCATCAGGCTCAGCACCTCACTGCTGCCTTTAACACCTCAAGGCAGGTGGCCCTGCAATACACCTTGTGTGTAGGGCAGCTGGGGAGAGGGACACGAACTACCCTACAATCCACCTGCCTCAGTGCTGGCAGCAGGTACTCGTGGCTTCATCTGCCCTTTGAACCACGGGACTTGTGATGCCCCACCAGAGGTGCCTTTTTTGTGCTGAGTCAGCTCTGGTTTGTCTTTTCAATGTACCCTGGGTGGAACTGGCAGATGATGAAGCTCGTACAACTCCACCTGCTGTGGCACAAAGCCCCCTGATACAGAGGGAGAGGGTGATTTCAAACAGTTCTTGGTGCCCAAGAGCACCAAAAGCTTCGTCCCTTGACCTCCCTGAGCTGGAGAACACTCTGCCTGCCTGGGGTTGTCTCCCTGTGTCTGGCACTGCCAGCATGGAATTGTGTTACAACACAGGGCAGGTCACCAGCCCGGGTTGGGTTTGACTGTCTCCAGCAACAAATTGGAGATAATAATATAACATAATAATGTCTACCTGGGAGGGATGCTGTGATACCCAATTAAAACTTGCCAAGTGATCTCTGGAGAGATTTCTTCAGGTGAGAATTCCCTGGGTGGTGAATGTAGCCAGGAGGGGTTGGTCCATGGCCTGAGCACAGGATGTGATGTGCTCCTTGGAGCAGCAGACAAGCGTGGAAAGGCAATTCCTGTGAGCAACACGAGGTCCTGATACCTCCAGCCATGCTGTGGGTGGGATGGAATGTCACAACCATGTCTCCATGAGGGTTTT